ATAAGGCTTGGTTAACAAAGGTGCAGGCCGTAAACTTGACCTTAGACTCATTCGGACATCCGCAAATTTCAAACATCGATTCCACCTTTATCCATCGTTTCAAGGTTATCACGCCTCCCATCCCATTGAAGGTTCGAGGCTTGGCGTTGGTAAAATCATTGTAGGTGCAATTTCTTATGGTTCATTGTTTTTTTCCTTGATTTGTGCTTTCGGTTCCCTGTCCGTTGCGTTCCTCGTTGTTCCCGTTGCGAATTTGTGCAAGCGCTGCAGTGACCGCAGCGGAAACTACTGCTTGGAATGAGACTGAGTTAATTTCTGGGGGCGTTGGTGTCGCGTTGTTCCCATGGTTTGGTCTTTGAGGCATCTTTATGTCATGGAACAAAGAGATGATGAGTATATATTGCATTCATTGGTTAGAATTCCATTGACTAGGCGAATCGATTTGTGTATCTAAGTGATTCCACGTATTAACATAAAGTAAAAGTAAAACACATAGCAGATAACAATGTCACGATTAAAAATAGAGCATTTTCATTCATAATAATCGCTTTTAATACATGAAAATTTGCCCAAAAAGGCATACAATACATAGGAAACATATGATCCGTCAGCATGACGACCCTATGAGTAGTGTAATCACTTAAACATAACGTTGATAGTACATAAAGTAACATACATATAAATGGAAAATCATAACGATACCAGTAGGTGAAGGGGAAATCCTAGTCATGACGAGATGCATCTAACAGTAGTAGTGATATCATATTCCAAAATGTTTTACTACTAAATTATCCATCTCGGTCATTTCTTTAATGACCTCATCCCTTTCCTGTTCCGCTTGTACGACTCGCGTCTCCATTGCCAACAGCTGCTGTCGAAGAGCGGTAAATTCTTCTTCCGAAGAGTGAGTTCCACAAATGGAGTCCCTTGGCGGTATAGGGTGGTCCGGATGCACTTCTTTGGTAGGAGGCTCGCCGAGAACTTCATTAGTGTTCTTATCGTCCTCTTCGTTGTCATCAGTCTCGTCAAACTCGTAGTCCATATCTGTATACTCCTCACCCTCAAAGTCAGAGGTTGCCTCTTTTCCTACCATGAGGTCTTCTTCAATCTCTTAGTGAGCCACTAGGTTGTAGCAGAAAAGAATGCCCTGATGCTCTCCATCCATGGCGGCTCCACGAGAAGCTTGGGGTGAGTAGTGTATAGAGGGAATAGATATATAAAATTTTCAAAATGCTCCTATGATATATTTTAATCATTTAAGTTTGGGTTCCTAGAGTTATTTGGAAATGAGGTAGGCTTCTAGATTCATTTCCCACTATGATTACACCCAAAAACAAGTTGGTCAATTTTGAATAAATATAGTTGATCAGGATATATTTATCCCCAATATGACTACATAATTGTTTGGGTTTAATCATGGTATTCAATTTCCTACAAAAGCATTTAATGTTATTGTTTTAATGTATACATAGGTATGCATTTATTAAGAGTGATTTAGTCCCATTGTATTTATAGTTGCATATCATGTATGGTTTGACATGCCAGTTTACTATAAACAATGCTCTGATACCTACTTATCACACCTTCGAACCAGACGATGGAAACGTCCGAGGGCTCGTGTGACTATAAATTGAAACATGATCATAATGAATATGCATGAAACATAACACCATCATCACCAAACATTACATAGTACAACTGGTATTATTCACATCAAGTACATGGTTTTACATTACACATTCCAAAACATAAATTGTACGATGTTTGACATTTCCATAAAAGAAATCCCAAAATACTCTTGATGATTCTTCAACTTATCGATTACCTGAGAATACAAGTTATTTTGAAAATAGTCAACATATATAATATTGGTGAGTTCATAAGCATGTTTGATTAAAAGAATTTGTATTGTTCGTGAAACCCTGAAAATCCGATATTTTATGTAAATTCTCTGAAAATGATGTAATGTTCAAGTGTAAATGTATGTGTGATTTCCACTTGTAAAAAAAGAAACATGTAAAAATAGTGATCCCAATTATTACCACATGAATATGTTTAATGTTATATGTATTTAGATTTACAAACACCAGATGATACTTGAATTTGAAAAGATACGACCCAACAAACATGAAAAACGACAGATGTGGTCCATTAGACATGTAAGTTATTTTTAGGCTTGATGGTATGCAAATGGACACGTTAAAGCCCATTAAGCATATGATGAATTTTTCCAGACTAAATTAGCATGTAAACAGGCCACTAAGTCCCAATAACATGTAAAGCTAATTTAGGCCCATTAAGCATGTAATTGGGTTACTAAGGCCCAACAGACATGAAATCATTATATTGGGCCCAATAAACATGCAAATTGATCACGAATGCCCAATAAGCATGCATCGTGAATACTAGGCCCAATAGTCGTACTGTTGTTGTATTTTGTTTGTTTGTTATAGTATAGTTCTTTTAGATGAAATATTTGTCCATAATGTTATAAAAAGTCCAGTGTTTTGTTATAATTATATTTTTACTTCAAAATTCTATAATTTCAACATATTTTTATTAAAATTTCACATTAGGTCCCTTAAGAACAAATTTGAACATTTAAAGGCTTGTTTTTACATAAAATATCATTTTTGGTCTATTTTAATTAAAAATAGCATTTAGCCATTTAATTCATAAAAATTTATATTTTCGGCCCAAATGTTTAATCATTGATGGATTTGGCCCAAAATATATTGACATTTTTAACCCATCTTTGTAGAAAATTACATTTTCAGCCCTTATTTAAATAAAATCACATTTCCGGCCTAATTTTCATAAAATTAACATTTTAATCCATAAAAATTGTCATTTTTGCAATTTGGGCCCAAAAAGCCGTAAGGCCCAAATTAAGGCCTAAAATGCTAAATTTTTACACTTTTGGGCATTTGAAAAGTATGATTATTATAAAAACTCATTTTTATACAAAGGTGACCTTTTTGATCCGTATAAAACTGAAAGTGTCACTATTACCTCAAACTTTGTTCATTTGTCAAGAATGATCCGTAAATAAGATTTTTGTTTTCTTTTTCACATCTTAAACATGTATAACACTTTTATCCTTTGTAGTATGATGACTAAAGTATTTAGTTTATGAATCTTACCCATTTTTGTTAAAGTTTTCGAGATTTATCAAGTTTCATCACATATTCGCAACATAAACAAAGAAAATCAAACATAACATGCATAAATACATAGATCTACACATAAATACTTGTATTCTCCCCCCAAAAACATATAAAAACCGGAAACAAGGGGGCATGAACTCACCTTGCTTGTTTTTTCTCGGTTTGCTGAAGAAAAGAGGGAGGTTTCGGCTCTAGCAAGCTTTCCTTAAGTAGATCTCAAGCTTATGAGGTTTCTAAGAAGTTAGATCATGAAGTAAAGCTATATAAGAAGGAGTTATTAATATTAAGATGGAAGTAGACAAAGGTTGAAGGAGTTGATGAAGATCCTTGAAACACGAGCAATTTTTGAGATTTCTTGGTGGAAGAAGGAGGATGTTCTTGAGAGATTAGAGAGAGTTTAAAGAAAAGTTTGAAGGTGTGTGTGTGTGTTTCTTTCTTGCTCTTGGATGAAGAAATAAGAGGAGAGTCGAGGAGAGAGTTGAGGATGTGATGGATACATAAATACATGAGATTTATGGATTACTTAATGGTTAATGTGCATGGAAGACCATCATGCAAATGTGATGTGTCAGTTGCAAGTTAAATCTTCTCCCTTTTTTTTACACTCATATATATTTATATATGCATTGGGTCAAGATTTTTGGGTTAAGAGGAATAGTAATGAGATAGTTTGGGCCCATTCTAAGCTTGGTTCGAATTCATGGAGCCCAATAATGGTATTCAGCCCATTGGGCCCTTGTGAGTGATCACGACCCAAAGTGGTATAAGGGAATGGGTTTATGGTCCATTAGAGCTAATTAATACATTATGGCCTAATAAGGCCCATTAAGGTTATTGTAATTTGTTGTGGTCCAACTTGGCCCATTAGAAGTAAGATGAACCATTTTAGGCCCATATGGCCCAAAATGTTGAGTTTTATGAATGCGGGTCCAATTAGAGCCCATTTAATGGTTCTAACCCAAAGTAGTCAAATTGGAAGCTTTTTGGTCCATTAGGCCTAATAAGGAAGTCCTAGTTCATAGTGAGCTTAAACCGGGATTTGGAGGGTTTTCAACCCCCAATTGACTATTCGAAATGTTTTGTATAAAGTTTTGGACTTCACAATGAATTTTGATAGGAGTTTGTTGTCATTGAATAAGCATCATACATATTATCAAGTTAGGGTTACAACTATTATCATAGTTAATCTTTGTGAGAGCATAGAGTTTCCTAGCTAAAATTGCTAGTTGTGACACCCGGCAGGTTAAGCCCGATGGATCCTAGTGCCCGTCAATGACCTTGAGAGCAGGGAACGCGTGGAGAAATGCTCGGCCCCCCCAGGGGCGCCTTCCACTCCGAGACAAATATAACGGTCTCAGTTCAAAAGGCAGATGCTCAAAGCATTACCGCTTGAACCAATCGTTGGCTCTGACAGATTAAAGAGCACGATCCACCAATCAGTGTCCCTGATCCTGTCAGGTTTGATGCCCTTGTCCCGTACGAACTAGCAGAAGGGTCTAGTATAAAAGGCCACTCTATGTGCCTTGGGAAGTAAGTGATCATCTCTTAGTTTACTCATAATATACTCCCAAGTCCATCCACTAACTTGATCATCGGAGCGTTTTCCTAGGATCCTCCTCCTGGAGAATGGATGATGATCATTTCTCGTTGTGACCTTACAGGTTCATCGGAATCATAGAAAGTATAGAGCACCACCGGAGCAGAACCAGGTCACATCATTTGGCGCCATCTATAGTGTGACAAAAAAAATCAAAAGCACACTCTTAATCAGTGAAAATGGCGTCCGACGACACTGGGAGAACCAGTGGAACACCAACCAGCCCCATCAGGCCCATGATGTCACTAGAACAAACCACCACTCAGGTTCCCACAATAATCATCGATGAAACATCACAAGGCGGCGACTCGACGACCACTAGTACACCATCAACCGGTCAATGGAGGACAAACTTCTTCCGCCGCCGTGTCAACACAAAGCATTCAGTTACAAACATCCCAACCAACGGTGATACCAAACAGTACGTCGCCGCCAGCGGTGGAAGACGTTAACGCCACATCGAGTTTTTTCCAACAACCACCGCCAAAGCACATGCCAGGCGCACAACAGGAGGTTTTCCGAACACCACCACCATCAAACTAGATGGCAGGAGCTCAACAGGTGGTTCTCCAAACACCACCAACAAACCAAATGGAAGGAGCTCAATCGGCGGTTTTCAAGACACCACCGATAAACCAGACGACATGAGTACAACCAGTGACTTTCTAGACACTACTGATAAGCCAAATAGTGGGAGAAACACCAACGGTTTTTCAGACACCACTACTATACCAAACGATGAGAAACCAAACAATGGCTTTCCCAGCACCTCCATTTGCAACAAACATACCTTTCTCCACCATAATACTAAATTACCAGCAATTTGTACCCCATAAGTCCCTGGCACAACACTCACCCCTACTCTCCACCCAAACGTTAACTTTCCCATTCCCACATCAAGCATTCTACGGGCCAAATCTTGGCCACTTCCCAGCATATAACAACATGCTTATGCAACCTCAACAGTATAACCCGCATGGTACCTTTCCTATACCAAACCAAGATTGCCTATCGTGAAGCGTGACATCTCCATTCGCCAATGAGCTTCTGAATTATGAAATAACCAACACATCAATATTGTCACATCTAAAGACCTACAATGGAACCACAAATCCCGAAAACCACATTGACACATACAAGTGGACGATGACTTCACTCAATTTAGACAAGCAATTATGGTATACATACTTCCCAACAACCGTAGATTGGAATGCATGAACGTGGTTCAAGACTCTGCGACCAGGGAGCATACATAACTTCAGGCAGTTAAAATACTTATTTCTGAAAAATTCCATGCAATTACATAAATACAAGAGAGATTCACACTCAATCATTGGCTGCAAACGGAAGGAAGGAGAATCAATAAGAGAATACTTCACCAGGTTTCCCAATGCTACGCTAGACGTCCCAAGTCACGATGAAGGCCTAATAGCAGGGGCTTTCACATGGGGCCTCCTGTCAGGCTGCTTGTCTCAAAATCTCATGGGAAGAAGTCGCAGACATGGGCAGAGCTAAAAGAGAAAGTAGAACGCTACCTAAGACAATAAGAAGATGAGGCAACAAAATAAGCCTACCTAAATTCCATGACTGCCTCGGCCACAAAATGCCACAATCCACCACCGTCTCACCCAAAAACCCCAGGCAGGGGTAGGAATTTCGGGCGAAGCAAGCACACGCAGGGATGCTTCTGGGTGTTCGACAAAGATAAAAGTCGAGGCAGATGGTCGGAAGTCTACACAGTCTCTGAAAGACATTCAGTCAAAGGAGGAAAGGGAAGATTTTGTGAGTACCACAAAAGCAACATTCATGACACCGTCAACTGCTTAGTGTTAAAAGGGAAATGGAAGAAAAACAATTAAAAGGGAATCTCATCGAGCTGGCATGAAGCCTTTGTGACAAGTTTGATGCCAAGAATGCCAAAGATGCAGTCAGAGAACATGAGCAACCTCGTGAAATCCTGATAATTCGCTCCAAGCGGGGAAGGCAAGACGAGCATGACAATACGGAAAGTCTCACCAGATCCATGTAAGGACTGACGTTTTCAGGAAAGGACCCTTGTCCGAAGGTTGACGAGGTGACGATGAGTAGACCAAGGATGTGACGATCCATTGGGTATACATCGATGCGGGTAGCTCAACGAACATTATTTATAAGCATTGTTTCTGCCTTCTCCCCGATAGATGGATGGAGAAACTCAAGTCTACAATGGAGAGGCTAACAAGCTTCACAGGGAACCACCTACAGCCCGTAGGCACAATCCATCTACCTTTCACGCTGACCATCTATGACGGAGTAAAGAAGAATACAACCCTAATAGACTTTGTTGTGATAAGACACTCGGCAGAGCATAACATCATCAGCGGGCGGACGGCCCTGCTCAAGTTCGAGGCAGTCCCGTCAACAATGCATGGGATTATAAAGTTCACCACCACGGAGGGGCCGGAAACAGTCCTGGAAATGCTGCCAAGGGAGCTACAATATTATGAGATCATGCAACCGAAAGAGATAGCGCAAGAAACAAGAAGTTACGGATAGATTCGACAAGTGACAATAAGGAATACTTGCACCAACCGATCAGCATAGGCAGCAACCTCCCATCAGCCACGAGACAAGTGTTGGTCAACCTCTTGAAAAAATACAAGCACGTCTTTGCTTGGACCCTATGGATATGTAGGGGTAGATAGGGAGGTTATACAACACAAGCTCATGATCAAACTAGGCACTAAAGAAACCAAGCAGAAAAAAGCGTTCAGGGGGAGATAGGAATAGGGCAGTCAATGCCGAAGTTACTAAACTAACAAAGGCAGGGATACTAAAAAAAGTAATTTTCCCAACTTGGATTGCCAACCCCGTCATGGTAAGTAAACACGATGGCTCGTGGCGTATGTGCATTGATTACTTTGATTTGAACAGGGCATACCCCAAAGACTGCTACCCTATGCCAGAAATTCAGCAAAAAGTCGAGTATTTGCAAGGCTTCAAGCTAAAGTGCTTATTAGACGCATACCTTGGGTACCATCAGATCTTGATGAGCAAAGAAGACGAAGAGAAAACAGTTTTCTATATAGACCATGGGGCTTTCTGCTACACCAAAATGTCATTCGGTCTAAAAAATGCAGGGACAACCTATCAACGGTTAGTCAACTCCATTTTCACTAAGCATATTGGAAGAAATATCGAAGTTTATGTCGACGACATGGTCATAAAGATCCCTAATGACAAGAAACTACTAGATGACATAGAGGAAACATTTAAAATGCTAGAAAAAGTCAGGATGAATTTGAACCCAGGAAAGTGTGCCTTCGATGTCGAAGAGGGCCAATTCCTATGGTACTACATTACCAAGAAGGGAATCCAGCCAAACCCAACCAAAGCCGATGAGTTCATGGAGGTTCCATCCTCAAACACCTTGTGAGATGACTAGCGACTAAACAGTAAGATGACCGCGCTAATCCGTTTCATTTCTAAATCAGCATAAAAGGCTTTATCGCTCTTCCAGGACCTTAAAGGGTGCATTGAAAAGAACAATTTCCAATGGACAACGACAGCAGAAGCAGAACTCCAGCAGATTAAAGAGGCCTTACACAAATTACCCATGTTGTCTAGTCCTATCCTAGGCGAAACACTACAAGTATACCTCTCAGCCTCAGATGAAGCCATCTCTTTGGTCCTGGTCGTGGAAAGGGACGGTTGATAAGCACCAGTTTACTTTGTCAGCCGAGCACTACAGGGTGCCGAAATCAATTATTTTATTCTTGAAAAGATATTGTTAGCACTCATCTATGCAGAGCGGTGCTTGAGACGCTACTTCCAAGCACATCATATCAAATTGCTAAAAAACTGTCCATTCAAACAAATATTGCTTAAGCCAGAGACATCTTGACGACTAGAAAAACGGGAAATCAAGTTGGGGAGCATGATATCAGCTACCACCCATGTACCAGTATCAAGGGTCAAGCATTATCATATTTCCACCTTGAAATCCCTGGCGACGCAAAAATTGCAGCTCAAGCAAAAGAATTATCGGAGACAGGCTAGACCAAGAATAACCAGAAGTGGACCCTGTACACTGACGGAGCATCCAGTAAATATGGGTCAGGGGCAGGCCTGATCTTAACAAGCCCGAAAGGAGAAGAGATTACTTATTCTCTTCGCTTCGACTTCCACTCTTCCAATAATGAATCCAAGTACGAGGCCTTGCCATCTGTCCTACAGTTAGCAAAGCAAATGGGACATGAAGAAACTAGGAGAATACAGATCAAAGCACCAATGTATGCAATCATGGATGGAGTACTATATTGAAAAGGATTTACATTGTCGTGGTTAAAATGTGTGGAGGAAACCAAATGCAACGAGACACTTCTAAAGACGCATGTCAGCCCGACAGGTGTACATGAAGGAGCGAGGGACCTGACAAGAAAAATACTCTGAATGGGCATCTATTAGAAAACCATACACCAGGATGCGTTGGAGGTGACATAAAAATATGTAGAGTGCTAAACCTGCTCTCCGATCCAAGGGAACCCTCCATCGCTCTTGACGAGTATTTCTAGCCTGTGGAATTTTTATCAGTGGAGAATAGATATTGTGGAGGTCATTCCCAGATGCCCCAGGCAAAGTAAAATACCTAGTAGTCACAGTAGATTACTTCACAAAATGGATAGAAGCTGAGCCGTTAGCATGCATATCGGGGAGACAAATGATAAAGTTCCTATGGAAAATTATTGTAACAAGGTTTGGAATACCAAAGATACTCATCAGTGACAATGGCCTACAGTTTGTTGAGAACCCATTCCGAGATTGGTGCAACAACAAGGGAATCAAACAGTGATTCATGTCAATAGTACACCCCAAGAAAATGGCCAAACAAAAGTGTCCAATAGAACATTGGTAAGTGGAATTAAGAAGCACTTAAGAAAAGCGAAGGGAAACTGGGTCAAAAAGCTACCAAGCATGCTCTGTTCAAACAGGATGACGCCAAGAGTGAGGACAAAATTAAATCCTTTCAGCCTAACATATGGCACGGAGGCAATGCTGCCGGTGGAAGTGATAGTGAAATCGCTTTGAACGACCCATTTCGACGAAGCAAGCAATGAAAAATACCCGAGAGCAAACTTAGATCTCCTAAAAGAGAAGCGTGAAAGATCGAACATCCATCAGGCATCTTACAAACATGTTTTGGAGAGGTATTATAACCAAAGGGTCAAAGAGAAGGGTTTCAAAGTCGGGGATTACATTTTGAGATGAAATGATGCAAGCCACACCCAACCACAAGGAAAGTTAGGCCCCTCCTGGGAAGGACCATATAAAGTCATTAAAGCCAATCATAGCGGTGCATACGTGCTCGAGACGATCGAAGGAAGGAAAATCCCAAGAACATGGAATGCCAGAAACCTAAGGAAATTCCACTTCTAATGTACCACCCAGACAGATCACCCGAGGGATGCTCGACGCCGAAGACTCGGTGTACTTAGGCATGCAACTTTATTTTTCTTCTTACAAAGTAGGTGTACCACAAGGCTAAGCATAGGCATTTTTTTTTGAAATACTCAGTGTATTTGAATGGCTTTCGCTATTAAAATACTTAGCGTATTCAAACTTAAAATACTCAGTGAATTTACAAGGCTCAGAACAACCATTAAGCTTAAAATACTCAATGTATTTACAAGGCTCAGAACAACCATTAAACTTAAAATACTCAGTGTATTTACAAGGCTCAGAATAGCCATTAAACTCAAAATACTTATTGTACTTACAACCATTAAAATTAAAATACTCAGTGTACTTATACGACTCAGAATAGCAATCAAATCGAAATACTTAACGTATTCAAGAGATTAAACATGCCACTCCAACAAGAATATTAACCAATAAAACCCCCGCGTCCAGCAATCGGAAGCAATCTCCCTTCACCACATTACAAAGGAACATTAGCAGGGGTCGAAAACAAAAACCATGAGCAAAAGATACAGTTGATCATGAGCAAAAGCAACAAGTACTATTCATGTTGAAAAAGTCTAAGAATTATTACAGACAATACCGGAAGGCCACCACTATTAGAAACTACCAAGACAAGGCAACAAACTACAAAAGCTTCAATATTTTTTCACACCCCTGAGGGGCAGCACACAGTACACAATGTACCATATGAACTCACTAGGCCAACACCACCACCATCATCATCATCACCCCCACCAACATCTTTTCCTATCACAATATCACCATCGTCACCATTGCCATCAACACCATCGCCTCTGCCGCCACCACCAACTCCATCAATCAGCATGCCATCAGGGATTTCATCCGCTTCCTCTAGAACGCAATGATGTTGCATACCCTCCATGTCTAAGTTCCCCAAACCCAGGAGTGAAGCATGATCTATAGTAGGAAACACGAGAAGGGCATCGTTAAGGATCAGTTGGATCGGGGTCACTAGCATTGGGGTCATAAGAGCTGGAATCCACTTCAGCTTTCAACCCACTACATCTGGACTCCTCTACGATAATAAACATTGCATGTTTGATTTGACTCATAGTGCCAGTAAACTCCGGATGCTCAATCAGCTTGTCCATAATGTGTACGACCCCTACACGTAAAAGCTAATCCCGGTCACGCTAAGCGGTTTCCCCATGGCCCGAGCCTCCTCGAGGAGCTTTACATGATCACAAACATCATGCTTCAGGCTCTCGTTTTGAATCATGAGCCCTTCGTTGGCCTGGATCAGGGACTCTACTTTGGCTTCCACGGTAGATAGGATCTCTTCTGCAGCAGTTTTCTCCAAAGCTAGCAGAGCACACCTCTTCTTAAAACTGTGAATGTCCTTTTCAAGCTCAGCGATCCGACGCTTCTGGTTGGCCTCCCAGACACTTCAACCTGTATGTGCAGTTTCTATCTTGTTGAGAAATTGGATTCGGTGGGCGTCGGCGACGAAATAGAACATGGCCTGAACGGCAGTGTAAAACATATTATGGGACAAGGCGGGGCTACCTATGGCCTCCATATCAGAGATAGTATGGGGTTGAAACACATGGCGAGCAAATTCCACAACGTTGGTATGAACAAACAAGCGGTATTCATTTTGCAAGCTTCAAGCAGGAAAAAAAACATTAGAACCAGAACCACCCCTAGGAGCCCCTTCGTGGGGAGCGGTTTGAAGCAGCTCAGCACCCCTGGGACCCTCAGGGGGAAAAATACCAGAAGAATACTGTGGCATAGATTGAATAGGAACTATGGGCTACTTCATGTCTTCATCGTCCCTTGATCCCCCTCGAACTGGTGTGCATCGTCATTAGGGGTCACAATAATTGCCTCCAGCATGGAGGCGATCGAGTTCAATAAACAAGTAAAGTTGCGTCTCGATTGAACACGCCTCCCAATGTTAAAAACATCGGTGGAGGTCTCCCCCATGGCCAAGATCTGACATCCCCAAATGCACAGTCATTTTAAAATTTTTATTCATGCTTATTTAAAAATCAGAGTATTTATTTTAAAGAATGATGTTGTGGAATTTGTTCCCAGAAAACATGATAAATATATTATCAAATCATTTCCAAAGAAATGTATTTTGTTTATATTAAAACTTTGGGATGTCATTGTCAATACAAAAACATAAGCATAAACAGACCTTACATTCATTTACACTAGTGATTTACATCTTCTTTAATCTCTAAGTGTAATGTAGCTTCATATCGATACCTGTTATACAAATAAACTGAGTGGGTTGGGTTGGAAACCTGGTGACTGCATAGGAATTTCAATCCCACAATGCTTTAACATATATAGGTATATTTTGGAACTCGTAATATATAATTTCACTTAATATAAGAAATTTTACCCCACCTTGTCGATCCTTACAACGACACGGCCCAAACTCTCGGATCTAAAATCAACAGCTTTACCTAATCCATACTCCCGGATCAGGTATGTCAAATCCATGCTCTTGGATCAACGAAAAATGACTATGCCCATTCCATACTATCGGACACTGGATGAAGGACTATGTCTAATCCATATTATCGTATCACTGATAAATGACTATGCCCAATCCATACTCTCAGACTAGGGATGAGTGACTATATCTAATCCATACTCTCGGATCAATGACAAATGACTATGCCTAATCCATACTCTCGGACTTGGGACGAATGACTATGTCTAATCCATACTCTCAGATCAATGATAAATTTTAGAGTTCTACCCTCCATTTATATCTCTCTCGTACTCATTAGAGGATATTACCCGATATTTATCTCAATTAATTGACGTTTACTTTGTATCTTAAACCATCATAATTATCATATATGCTCCTTACATGTATTTCATGAAATAACAAATATTTCACACACAAACATATATTTAATACATTAATCAATACTTGTATTAAAATCATGTTCAAGAAAGGGACTATGCACTCACTTGTTAAAGTGATGACTCATAATTCAGGCAGCGCTTCGCTTCTAACAATTTTTTTTTCCTTCGTCGAAACCTAGTATCGTTATCACTAGATTTTAGTCTAATATTTATTGCGACTAATTATTAGTCGAGCAATATTATTTTTCTTGTATTATATAAGTGTTTAAAAATACTTTTCAAATACTATGTACATACAGGGGCCATACATGAAACACCGGAGGGCATAATCATTTTAACAATTAAGCCGTTTTGAAATCCAACAACCCAAGCGGCCCTTCAAACCAGATTCCTCATACCACGAGCAGTAAAAAGGTATTATAAAAACAATATAATTTATAATAATTAGCTCATATATTTTTTATAGGAACCGGGCTCTGTGGGGGCAGAGTTTCAAAGTCGAAAACTCTTCTTCGCGGAGCCTTCTGGCGCTCCGGGATTCGCCTCATAGCACTTGGGAAATACTAAGGCTTAGGAGGGATTTAGAGAGATGTTTGAGAGAGAAAGAAAGGGAGATGTGTGAAGGAAATTGAAGATTTGCGCCTCTACTTATACGCTGGGAAATGACCCAAATCGGTGAGTTCTGAGCCTCCAACTCATCGAGTTGAGTGCTAAGTCTCACCATTTGGTGACAAGGCATGGGAGGAAGCAATGGTCAGGATTGTGCCACGAGTCACTCGTAGATTACTCAAAAACTAACTATCTTCTAAAATCCGTAACTTTCACATACGAGCTCCGTTTTTTACGTTATCTATATCCACGCGTAGGCGGCAACATGATCTACAACTTTCGTTTAGAATCCATAGGCTAATTTTGAATTTGTTTTTAAAGTTATATTTTCACAGTCCTAGACATGTAAAATCCGATAAAAAATTATAACTTTGTCATCCGACATCCGTTTTCGTATGTCTTTATATGGTTGAGCTCCTATTAATGAGATCTTCAATTCTCATTTAGTTTGTGTCAGCTAGAAATCGATTGATCTAAAATTCAAATTTCGGGCTACATACTGCAATGCCAAATCTTAGAAAGATCATAACTTCCTCATACGAAGTCAGATTTAGACGTTCTTTTTACGTCCATTCTCGGTTTAACATATACTATGACTTTCATTTATAGTTCTAGCCATATGGAGGTAGTTGCGAATAGCAAGGATGGTTCATTTCCGACATCCGACGGGCCATTGCTAAAAGGAAGGTCGTCTTGTATAACACCCGCAGATTCGGATTAGTCAATTTAAAGAGAATAAGCATCAAAAATGACTTCTTGATAGAAAATTATTTAGAATAAATAATCTTAACTAAGTTATAGCATAGGTCACAAGGGTTCCGTACAAAAAAAGAACACTGAAATCTGTGTTGCTGTGTTGGATTAGCCATAAAACTTTGACGGGTCATAACTTCTTCGTTATAACTAGATTTCAGTGTTCTTTTTGTGTATGGAACCCTTGTGACCTATGCTATAACTTAGTTAAGATTATTTATTCTAAATAATTTTCTATCAAAAAGTCATTTTTGATGCTTATTCTCTCTAAATTGACTAATTCGAATCTGCGGGTGTTATACAAGACGACCTTCCTTTTAGCAATGGCCCGTCGGATGTCGGAAATGAAGCCATCCTTGCTATTCGCAACTACCTCCATATGGCTAGAACTGGCAGTAGAATATGGAACAACCGTCGAGATGGGTCGGGCAGTCAAAGGCGGTTTTCCGACAAACATAGAAGATCCCTCTACAGTCGGCGATACCGGAGGAGTAGTCAAGGCGAGTCGATCAGCTGGCGAGATGGGGGAAACGTCTCAACCAGATCAATCTACCGGTGTTCCAGCTTTCCCCTGTATCGCTTCTGTAAAACCTCATCCATCAAGAGAGGGGATTCAACGCCTATCCAAATAAAGGCAAATCAGGAATAGAAGTAACCAAGCAGAAGATTTGCCCTTTTTTTTTAAAAAAAAGAGGAAGAATAGTAGAACTACTCACCATCAATAACACTATAGAAGATCAGCTTCTTCTCCCGACGCCTCCAAGAAGGGCTCATGCCGACACCAGTAAGCAATACCTCAGAGTATTCCTAGGTGCAACTTGAATACTCCTCCGGAGATCAGCGACGACCTGGTTATAAGGATATAACTTAGGGGCGACATCAGCAAAGTTGTTCACCCGGTACCGCCTATTGCCAGCCAAATCACGGTTGACCCGCAACCACTTATCCTACCAGTTCTTGGGGGTTTTACCATCAGGAACTAAGGTATGACCCCTTCACCGAACAGAGTAAGTCTATTTGTCACCCGTAGCACTGAACCTGAAGAAATACTTAAAGACAAAGTAATCGTGAAGCAGCCCGGTGGCTCGACAAATCATCTCAAATGCCACTACTTTGTTAATAACATTCAGGGTGAGCATTTGGATGATGCACCCATTCTTCTGCAAAATCTCATCCTGTAATTTAGTAAGAAGAAGACGCAGACCATTTTCAAGGGTTTTCAAGTAGATACCCACCTTTCCTAGTGGAGGAGATAAGATCATCGACTTTGGAGATGGAAACTCAACCCCATCTATTGAGGAAAGGCCATAAGCATCACCAAGAAGCTTGAAGTCAGCCTCAGATGGAATATCACCAGATTGAGCAGCCATAAAGACAAGAAAAAACCCTAGAAGAAAAAGGAAAAGAAAAAAGAAGGAAGTACCATGAATAGGGAGCGCTCTTTGACTTTTTAAAGGAAAAGGAAAGGCGGGATATTTAAAATCCCTAACGTGATGATGTAAATGACTGCCATAATGGGCAGTCACGTCACCGTAAAAGTCAAAGTGACGATTAAATCAGATCTTGGCGCATGTACAAAGCAGTTAAGTCCAGAACATCACAGTTAGTCTAGCAACGTTATGACTATTGGACTAGGGGACTTGATGACGTGCCCTATAGCTCACAAAGAAGCGATGCCTAATCACGCCAAAGAATGCCCCAAGACATGTCACGCCTGGCAGGCTAAGCCCGACGGAACCTAGCGCTCGTCAATGCCCCTGAGAGCAGGGCACCAGTGGAAAGAGGCTCGGCCCCGCCAAGGGAGCCTTCTACTCTAGGAAAAATATAATGGTCTCAGGCAACAAGGAAGATGCTCAGAGCATTACCTCCTGAACCAATCATTTGCTCTGACAGATTAAGTAGCACGATCCACTAATCAGTGTCCCCAAGCCTATCGGTTTTGACGCCCTTGTCCCGTACGGACTAGCAGAAGGATCTAGTATAAAAGGCCACTCCAGGTGCCTTGTGAAGTAAGTGATCCTCTCTTAGTTTACTCACAATACAATCCTAAGTCCATCCATATACTTGACCATCGAAGCGTTTTCCCGGAAGCCTACTTTCTCGTTGTAACCTTACATGTTCATCGGAATCATAAAAAGTGTAGAGCACCGCCGGAGCAGAACCAAGTTACATCAGTGTTTTTGCAATCAGGGCAACACCAGGGATCAGATTGATCTTGAACTCAACTTTCCTCTCATGAGGCACACCCAACAATTCCTATAGAAAAACATTAGGATATTCTCTCATAATAGGAACATCGGTAACAGACTATTTTTTCTCAACCTGCAAATCAACCACATAAGCAAGATACCCTATATATCCATGCTGAAGATACTGCCTTGCCCTTAAGGCGAAGCAAAAGGAAGATCCAACCCTAGTACCCTCACCATAGATAATCAGCACTCCCCTACTAGTGTCACAAATTGTCACTACCTTCCTTTCGTAGTCAATCAATGCCTCGAACTGGCACAAACCAATCCATATCAACAATGAGTGTTTTACACCCCTGAATGGTATGTAATAATGCTTTATAGAGTCGTTACATCACTCACCTCGGTTAGGGTTTAGAATTTCTGAACATGTGAAACTTCCGAGTGATACTTTGTATTATGATAGAAAGTTGTACATAAGAAAGCATAGAATATCCCCTATCATACAAGCACTAATTGAGTTTAGCGGTTTGACCTGTTGACTTTGACTTGACCATAATTTGATGGTTGTCACAATTAGTGATTCAGATTTATTCATTTGAGTGTGTGTGTGTACACACACACACACACTAGATGTGTGCCCGCGCAAAGCAGCGACGATAAATAGTTTTTTTGGCGAATAGTTTTCTTACGGGAAAATAATTATTAGATTTTGTTATTAGTTATTATGTAATAAGAAAAATTATCACTTTTAATTAAAATATTTATGTTTAGAACTTATATTTATATGGTATGTTTATATATTTTATGTAAATTAGTTATTATATGTATATTGTTTAAAAAATATAAATTAACTTATATTGATGAATTTAATATTTTAAAATTGTTATTTTACTCCAAATTAATTTTTTAATAACCATCATTAATTCAAGTTTTAAAATTTTGGTAAGTATTAATGGTTTTGTTATGTATAGTTGATTTGTACAAAAAAGTTTATAGCTTATACATCTTAAAATTCAAGATATTACTAATATGTTTTATATAGGAAGATAATTTGTACACAATAATTTTTCTCCATACACAACAATTGATGTTTTAAAATGTTGTACTGTACAACTCTATAATGCATAAAGTATTGTGTATGGTAAAAAATGTTATGCACGAATCACTTCCCTTTTATATATAGTATAAGATAAGATATAATATATATTAATAGAAGGAACTTTCTATGTTTTAGCCAAGTTTTGAGGTTGAGTAGAATTTAATATGTTACTTTCAATTGTTTCAACGAGGGCATGCACCTGTCTTTATTGAAGGTGACTACGTTCCTCGCCTTTCATACAACCAGAACACATAAATAAGCATAATGGATGAATTACTTAGTTTAATTGTTTTGTTTGCATGAAAGTTAACCACAACTTTGCAATATATTAGCTGCTGAAATCTGTAGGTGGCCCAAGAATTAAATCAACTAATCAGTTCACCTCCAACATTTGTGATCTTTTTGTGAATGTCCCGCTTATTAATTAGTTCCATAGATTTTTTTGTGGTCGATTAGTTGCTCATGTGTTCTTTGAGAACTTAAATAATCGGGAAATCTATTAGTTCTTAGAGTATCTATAATGGTAAGTTCAATTAGAGAATTTAGTGGCAAGCCTATGTCATTTAATGGATTAAACTCTACCTTAGTGATTTGTCATCTTTTTCAATGGATTTGGAGTTAAATGGTTATTGAACTCTTCAATGAAAAAAAAAATTAATTCTTAAATATACGCTATAAATTAGTTTTTGTAATTTGCTATTGAATTTTATAAAGTTTAAAAAAAATTAATAAAGTTATATGAAATATTAAAAAAAAAATGATACTGCAATGAAATTTATAGAACTCAATCTCAAATCTTTAAATTCAAAGTTTATTATAACATAATACTTAGTGAGTGTTTGGGATTATTTTAAAAACAACTTTTGCACTTTTTAATTTTCCAAAATATCAAAAAAGTTGAAAAAATGTTTGGAAAGTTAAAAAATCTTTTTAAAACAATTTTTGGAAAAAAAAATGATTCTAAAAGACACGGAATCATAACTTTTGTGACTTTTATGCCTTTTAAAAAACTTCACATTTTTTCATTCAAAAACATTTTAAACATCTATTTTTTGAAAAAGACCTTTACAAAATAATAATAATAATAATAAAAAATAAAAAAAAATATATTTTAAAAGTAAAAAAATATCCCAAACACCCCATTATAACTCGTCCCCACTCTCTAAAGTGACCCACCAAAACATAAACACAAACAAACCCACTCGTGAGCCACATCCCACATATAACACCCATACAGTATACCCCACATACTTATCCTACAACCCACCAACCATAAATACCCACCTAACAGGCATCACTTGGCATTAACACCCTTCTCCCACATCTAATACCATCTATAGACCTAAATATCTTGTAAAAGAAAGGTGGTATACAGAAACGAAAATAAAAATATATTATTGCAGTGAATCCTTGTAATAGATTGCTATATACGATTATGTATGTTCTTTGTACACCTTTCTCCCTTAATTTCCTCTTCCTTTATCTTTAATCTTTAATTCTTTATCATTGTCATTTGTAGAAAGAAATGCTAATCGGGAATACAAGTTCTAGAAAACTACAATTTATAATACAAAAATAAATTAATAATAATAAGAATAAGAAGAATAATGATAATAATAATCAAAGAACAGATATGAAGGGGCTGAAAGTGAATCGAAACAAAAGTTCAGGGGACAATTTATGTAAGTTACATTTGTTAAAGGGCGAAGAAATGGTTTGAATCAATGTGAGAAATTGTGAACAGTATGAATTTTCATTATGATACATCATCTGCGACCACATGGAGAAGATAACTTTACCGCTCTTCTTCTATTTGTTCTTGTTCAAAACTATCTCCGGCGCCGATGACTGCGTTCCAACTTCCTGCAGCCCCACCGGACCTCAGGTACGTTTCCCTTTCCGTATCCGGGGTCTACAACCATCCCACTGCGGATTCCCTGGCTTCGATCTCTCATGCAGTAAACGGAATCGAACAATCCTTCACCTAACGTCCTCCAGGTCATACATCGTCAACAGAATTTCATACGGGGCCCAGGTATATATCTATACATCATTCCATGAATGTTTTAGTTGTTTTCAATGGAAGAATATATATATATGAAATGTAAAATTTTGATGATGCTTGCTTCGCAGATCATCTACATTGACCCTGAGTTCTGCCGACCTAAAAGAATCGGAGATTTCCGTCTAACTGGAACGCCTTTCGATTTCAGCAGCGTGAGAAGCTATAACTTTTACAACTGTTCTTTGCAGAAGTCCAATTACATGTTTCCGGCGGTGGCGTTACCGTGCCTGGACAGCGGGAATCATTCCGTGATCGCTGTGCGGACTGGACTGATTCCAGAAGGAGAGACGCCGGAAAATTGCAAGGATATAGCGACGATCTCTGTTCCGATTCGGTGGTACGGGAATATTAGGGAAGAACTGGAGTTGATGTGGTTTACACCGTTTTGTGGACCCTGTGAGATTGAAGGTAGAATGTGTGGCCTCAAGAATGGTGATGGAGAAACTACTTGCTTCGGTTCTCCCGTCGGTAACCTTCTTCAATCTTCTTGCCTCCTGCTACTTACGTAAACTCTTGTATACATATGGGTTGAGCATTAAATAAAGAGAAAATATGCTAAGTATATGGATTAAACATACAAACATGGTACGTATTTGGATTCTTGCTTACAAATTTTTATATTCATATATAGGGATTCAAAGGAATGCTAAGTATGGATTGAGCATAGGCATTGGTATATCGATATTGATATGCATATTGGGGATTGTGTGCTACACAGCTACCAAAGCAAGAGACTACGGTAGAAGTAGGCACCAAAATCTTGACATATTTTCAATCACGATATCGCCACGCCCACAATCGGCGACAGGCTTAGATTTGTCCACAATCGAGTCGTACACAAAGACTGTGCTCGGAGAGAGTTGCAGACTACCTAAGGAAGATGACGCATGCCCAATATGTCTTGCGGACTACAAACCTAGAGAGGCATTGAGGACGATCCCCGAATGTAATCATTATTTTCATGTTGAATGCATAGACGAGTGGCTTCGATTGCATGCAACTTGCCCAATGTGTAGGAATTCACCCGTAAAGTTCATATTTGGTTAGACTTGTTCCTTCTTCAAAACATGTTATACAAATCTTCTATTTTTTCACCTTTTTTTCTTATTTTTAAATGCCAATAATAATTATTAATTTCAAAACATGTAACCTAGTAAATAAAAATATAAATAAATATAAGATTAATAATAATTAAAAAAAAAGTCATTAATTTAAAATAAAATTTTCAAAATTTACATATAGTAATAATAAATCATTCCATCACAATATTCCTTTGTTATTTTAGTTGTGTTTGGCGTATTAGCTGAAAAAACTAATTATTAGTTCAAAATCTAGCTGATAACTAAAAAGTTAGTTGTTAAATAAAAAATTAGCTGATAAAAAATGACATTTTGTAAAACTAGCTGAAAAATGTGAAATGACATAAAATGATATTTAAAAGAATGTGTTTTTATAATTAATTAATGTGATATTTGAAAAAAAAATAATAAAAAGAAACTCCTAAAAAGCTAGTCTAAATAACTTTTTAAAACACCAACTTATAAGCTACTTTTTGGCTTGTCAAACATGACAACTTAAAAAAACTCAAAAAAAAAAAAAAAAAAAAACAAAATAAACTAGTTTTTCAGCTAGTTGTAGCGCGTCAAGCACAATATTTATCCTTCAAATGCTTGAGGCGCTCAAATGATGGTATACTACATTAGTCAGATGATTTGTGTTCGCCAAACACTCCTACCCTTCCACCACTCAATCATCTCTTCCTATCTCTTTTATCCATGAAATTTTTCAGAAACATAAGGCTTAAGACACTCTTTAACTCAAAATCTTCATCATCTTGTGGTGTTCTTGAAGGTAAAAACAATTTCTCTTTCACTTTTCCTTCAAGTTTTACTATTTTTCTTGTATTTTCTCCTTCTTCTACTCCATTCTAATGAATGATCATGAACACATAAACATACACACATACATATAATTTTGCTGATGATGGTGGTAGGATTTCTGTAACATCCCAATTTTCAAGACCAAAAATTCATTTTTAATATAACGATTTAGAAAACATTTATAAGAAAACATCATCGAGTCACATTATTTCATAAAACCATAATCACATGTTTCAAAATCATATCATAAAAATAGTAATAATGTCAGAGTACAATCCCAAGAATCTCATAATGCATAAATCATGTGTGTGTAATGCGTTGCTACCGTGTCGGCTCCTTCCCATTCGATGAAGAGGTACCTGAAAACAAAACTGAAAATTGTAAGCACAAAGCTTAGTGAGTTCCCCCATCATACCACATACCATACATAACACATATTACATAACATAACTGGGTACTAACTACCCCTTCGGTCCCATCAACCGGTACTTTGCCTAGCATATTTGGGTGCTGGCCTCCCTTTCGGTCCTGTCGACTAGTACCTTGCCTAGCATATCAGGGTGCTGGCCTACCCCTTCGGTCCTGCTGACCGATAACCTTGCCTAGAATATCAGGGTTCTGGCCTACCCCTTCAATCCTTTCGACCGGTATTAGGGACTATTTTACCCCCTACTCTATCACATAGCATCCTAATGTATAAACATGCAAGTCATATACTGCCTAACTTATCTAAGTGATGGCATACCCTTTCGGTCCTATTGACCGGTACTAGGGTCTATCCTACCCCTTCTATCACATATCACATATCATCATAGCATACTAGCACATAATCATAATAGATAACAATTTACCAGATAATTATCACAAAGACAGTTATCTCTACTATAACTCTTACTAGTAGGCCAACCTTGGTGCCTTCGACCCACTTTTACTAGAAGGTAACTCACCTCAATGTCGCGTAGTATCTGAACTGTCCTCGGTACTGGGATCAACTCCTCTCAAACTCTTCAAACTCCTACACATAATAACCTTCCTTCATTACCATTTCATACTCTTAACCATTTCAGGGGTCAACTAAGGTCAAAGTTAAAGTCATGGTTCACACCTTGGTCAAATTCAACTTTTGGTCAAAGTCAACATTTGGTTGACTTAACTTACTGAGTTGGCTCGTCAACTCTTCGAGTTCCATAATTCAGAGAATCTCGATTTCGCGATCTGACTCGTCAAGTTTCCCTTCAACTCGTTGAGGTTCTCCTTATGATAGCATCGGGACTTTCCATTTGAACTTGCCGAGTCCTTCCTTGGACTCGTCGAGTTCATCTTCATCTTAGTTGGGACAGTTGCTCTTAACTCGACGAGTTCATCTTTGAACTCATCGAGTTCCATGATCTTCAAGTCCATAAACGAGCCCAACTTGCCGAGTCGTCTCCAAAACTCAACAAGTTGCTCAATATCATAAAAGATTGGGGAAACTACGACCTAACTCACCGAGTCGTATGAGCAGCTCGTCGAGTCCTTCAATGTCCAAATCCATATAGTCAATTTCAATCGGTCTTAACACATCTAAAACGTAGATCTTACCTCCTAGGGTCGATATTACATGTAAAGTTACAAACTTTACGTGCATGCAAGGTGGTATGAGCCAAAAACACCATTTCCAAGTCTAAAATGAAGTTTAGGCCAAAGGGAAGGGCTAAAGCATGATAAATTCATAAACTTTATGGCTAAAGGGGCTGAAAGGGATCTGGATCTGAAGTTACTGTTGGGTTTTAGCCATAAGAACTTTCCTATGTGCGCATGCAAAACCCTATTGCTTGGATCTAGGCTTTCTAATAAACATGCTTTTGAATCCAAGACTTCTAATGGCTAATTAGGTTAAACAACAATATTAAAACAGATCTAGAATCATACCTTTGAATCCCTTGTTGATCTTGGTTGTCTTGGAGCTTCTAGAGTCACAATTGTCACTCCTCTAATGGCTTACAAACACCAATAGCAAGCAAGATTATTTAGGAGAGAGGAGAGGGGATGGAATTCGACCAGAGGTTCCTTGCTTTAGGTTCTGAAAGGTTGTACACGAATTCCACATCCCAAGGGCCTATTTATACCTTTAGACTCCTTAAGGGTTTCACCTTTAAACCCTAATTGGATAATCTTCTCTTAAGGCTATCCAAATCCATTCCATAGATAACCATATGGACGATTTTGAGCTATCCTAAAGCTCTTAGAATTTCGTCCAAGGTCCATCCTAATGGATTTACAGTCTAAAGTCTAACTATCAAACAATTGACAGTTTATACCCTCTTATTTAATTAATCTCTTTAAGTCACCAAATTAATACCAATTAATTTATGACTTATATTAATCAAATAGCTAAATATTATTCCTTATAATATTTACTCTCTCTTAACAAATCATCCTTCAAGTTGCTATGGTGAAGGCAACCCAAAAGGACCATGCACCACCGAATATAGTTATAGCCTTAGACACTATTCCAACAGTCTCCCACTTGGATAAGTCTAGTAACTATACAAGTATAATACGGTTTGCAATCGTAGCTCTCAAAGACGCTGTCAACTCTGATCTAATCAATCTTGTCCTTTAGATAAGGGATCGTACAGTCCTCTGTTAGATATCATGCTGACAATCCTATGGAATGGTTAGTCTAGCATTTAGATTTCTCGATCTTCGATTTATTTGACATAGAACTTAATCGAACACATCAATTCAGTTCTGACCGGGCCCGGCACATAAGTCAAATCAAATCATCGAGTGGCCAAGATATCTCTTCTATCCTCTTAGGATAAAATTTACAGATAAACTTCGACTTATATGCATTTACTTATTCATTAACCAACTATACACAACAATGCGTTTTATAACATCAAGTTACTGATGCGTTTTCGCATTATCAATGCACAATCAATTAACAAATAATAAACCATATATCTAGGTTTTAAGACCATATGATATTATCGTCTTGCGATCACCTTTTATATCGTATTCCATAAGGTGATTCCAGCAAGCGCGGGTTTATTCCAATGCTCAAAACCAGTTCATAAGCACTCATGAACGTTGCAGCAACCCTTGCTATGTCTAACACCATTTAGACATTCTACACACCAATTCATGACAATCTTCATTCATATCTACTCCCAACATATGAACGATTGTGGACCATTTGAATAATTCGATTATTCCTAATAAACTCAATTATTCTGGAAGTCAAAACATGCAAAGTGAAACAATAGTTAAACAACTAACATGTGATAGTAACTTTACTCATAAATAAAACTTCTTTATTTAATCATCAAATGTAATTACATTTATCTATTATACGTTTCTAATACTATCTAATCTATGCTAATATCATCCTTCAGCCCAATACTCCTAGCATGCTGCAAGTGCTTAACCCTACTCAGTCCCTTCGTAAGCGGATCTGCTGGGTTATCTTCTGATGATATCCTCTTCACTACGAGTTGTCCTTCTTCTACACGATGTCTAATGAAGTGATATTTTCTGTCGATATGTCGAGATCTACCATGATCCCTCGGTTCCTTGGTCAAGGCAACCGCACCTTCGTTATCACAGAAAATCTCCATGGGCTCCTTTATGGCCGGCACAACTCCAAGATCACCGATGAAGTTCTTCAGCCATATTGCCTCCTTCGACGCTTCGCTCGCTGCGATGTACTCTGATTCGCACGTTGAATCAGCTACGGTTTCCTGCTTGGAACTTTTCCATGTCACTGCTCCTCCATTTAGGGTAAAGACCCAGCCCGACTGCGAACGATAGTTGTCCCTGTCGGTTTGAAAGCTGGCGTCACTATACCCTCGCACCTTCAAGTCATCACTCCCTCCAAGGACTAAGAACCATTCTTTCGTCCTCCGAAGGTACTTAAGGATGTTCTTCACCGCAATCCAATGTGCTTTGCCAGGGTTCCCTTGATATCTGCTAACCATGCTCAAAGCGAAGGCTACATCAGGGCGAGTACAAGTCATAGCGTACATGATTGAGCCAACTGCGGAAGCGTATGGTACTCGGCTCATTTCTGCTATCTCAGCTTCGGTACTCGGACTTTGAGTCTTACTCAACTTGGCATTTCCTTGTATCGGTAGTTCTCCCTTCTTTGAGTTTTCCATACTAAAACGTTTTAGTACCTTCTCC